TCTCTCTCTCTCCCTCCCCCTCTATCACTATCCCTCTCTCTCTGATGGAGGGAGGGTGAAGGGGGAGATGGAAAGGCGATAGTGAGGGCGATGACGTGTCACTTCCGGGGTTGCAGAGCAACTGTTTCCGGGTTCACCTTCGACAACATGGCGGCGCCCATCGGCCTCCACCTGGAGTTTCGGTGCGGCCTTTACCGGGGGCGGCCTGCTCGGGGTGTTACCCCGGGGTGTAGGGGGGGCGGGGTGTTGCCGGGGACAGAAGGTCCTTTCTGTGGTTTGCTGCCTCCCGGTGTTTTTGTTGCGGCGGGATGACATTTTCGGTTTAATGTTGTGTATTCCCCCCCCGGGGCCAGTTGTTAACTCGGCGATAGTGGGGGGTGGGGGGTCAGTGCCTGTGGATTTATTGAGGAGAGTTTTCCCGAGCTGACTGTCTCCCAGAAACTGCTGTGTCCCTCCCGTTCCCTCTGATCATAATCCAGATCTCCAGCTCCAGCAACACTTTGTGTTTTTTCTGGTCTCTCTGTCATCATTTTCTTGTTCAAACACCAGAGAGAGAGAGAGAGACTGCTGGAGAAACTCAAACAGTTAAAGTTTCATGAGACAACAAGGTGCAGGGCTGGATGAACACAGCAGGCCAAGCAGCATCATAGGAGCAGAGAGGCTTAAAGTTTCATGTCTGGTGTGACTTCTTCTGAAGGAGCTGGTTCTGGAGTTGAAATATTAACTCTCTCTCTCTCTCTCCACAGACGCAGCCAGATTTACTGAGTTTCTCCAGCAATTCCCTTGTTTGGTTGCTCCAGCGTCCGCAGTTTTATTTGTCATTTTCTTGCTTAATGGTGCTTCTCAAGATATCACCAGTTCCTTGGATGGAGGCAGATAGTGTTGATTCTTCATGTGTGACCTTAGGCAGAGTGCTGCCAATCTCTTCAACAGTGAAGTATTCCGACTGAACCAGAACTGACTCTTACTCAGGATTTCCCTGCTGTTTCTAATGGGATTGATTGGTTTTATTGACTGACGTGCTATCAGGATGTAATCACCATTTGGTTCTCCCACTGTACTACCTTAGGGATACCGAATCTGTTTGAATTGTGCCACTAGCTGCCCATTGGTTATATCGAATAAAAACTGAAAGAACTGCAGATGCTGGAAATCGGAAGCAAAAACAGAAATTGCTGGAAAAGCTCAGCAGGCCTGGCAGCACCTGTGGAGAGAAATCAACATTTTGGGTCCAGCGAGCCTTCCTCAGAACTGACAGTAGCTCGGAAAAGTTTGATTTTTATGCGGAAGATAGGGAGGGGAGAAGGAGTAAACGATAGGTGGAAATAAAGCCCAAAGAAAGAGAAAAACAGTTGGACAAACAAGGGGTAGATAATGATCAGGCTCGGAGAGTGAATACCTGTTATTGAGGACTGTTAGTGGCTAACAGTGTGTAATAGCAGACCATGTGATAACAAGACCTGATATGTGGGGATTGGGGTAAGGACATGGGAGAAGCTCAGCCCTAAAGTTGTTGAACTCGATATTGAGTCCAGAAGGCTGCAGAGTTCTCAAGTGGAAAATGAGGTGCTGGTTATAATTGATATTTTTTAATCGCCCTGCTCAGACATGATTTGGCACACTTCTGGAACAGGTAGGACTTGAACCTGGACTGTCTGGTCCAGATGTAGGGACACTACCACTGTACTACAAGAGCCCTCTGAATATGACCCAGCCGAGTCAAACCATTCAGCCAGACCACCTTGTTGTGTAACATTGGCTGTATAAGCAACGACTAATGTGTAGTTTGAATGAGACGTAGGAACCATCAACAATTTGGCAAGTGTTCAACCAGTAGCTTGTAGAGCTTGGGGAACTGAATTGGCTCTTCCTATTCCTGTGAAAGTGTCCTTTTTTTTTCTACCAGCATGAAAATGAGCAACACTGGTGCAGCTTGGATCCCCTGAGGTTATGGTTAGTGTATGGTTTGGTTAGAGTGGAGAGTGCTTGATACTTTTGAATGATCCTCTTCCCAACTTGGGATTGTTTGATGTCGGCTATTGGAAGAGTAGAAACCTGCTCTGTCCCCTAGCACTGACAGTTCCTCACCATCAGAAGCACAAGGAAAGTACTCTGTCCTTTGCATTCATTTTGCAAACAGTTAAATCGTTTCTAACTTTTCTTTTTGTAATGAATCTGTTATAGAGGTGGTGCTGAGCTGCTCTTCAATGGAGTGAAGGAGCAACATGTCACATTGCCCAGCCAGTCAACACCATGTGAGTATTGGACTTTTTGTTTGGTTTCCTGGTTTGTGAAAGAGAATTTAATGTATGAAAATCCTTACTGGCAGCTCACCACAAATAGAGAATTACCCCTGTTGTGTGTTTATTGGAGGGAAAGAGGGAGCTATTGGGAACCAGACATAAGTAAATGATCTGCCGGTCTATCAAGTCTTACATGTATACATGATAACTCTCCCGCTGTGACTGGCTATCCCTGCCCTCTTGCAGTCACAACCTGGGAGAGATTAAAAATCCAGTTCAAGTAAGGGGAAACAAACCCTGGAAAATTTCCCTCTGGCAGTCAAAACCAGCCCAGGACATCAGGTGTTCCAGGTTTTTTAAAAAATCTATTATTTGATTCAACTTCAATGTGACGTGATCTCTGCCAAGATAAGGAATTGAACTGAGAAGGAATTTCTTCACCCAGAGGGTTGTTAATCTATGGAATTTCTTGCCCAGTGAAGTAGTTGACGCTACTTCAGTAAACGCTTTTTAAAAAAAGGTAGTTTTTTTTGAACAATAAAGGAATTAAGGGATACGGTGAGAACGTGGGTAAGTGGATCTGAGTCCACGAAAGGATCAGCCATGATCTTATTGAATGGCGGAGCAGGCTCGAAGGGCCAGACGGCCTACTCCTGCTCCTAGTTCTTATGTTCTTATGTTCTAAGGAAGAGCACCCACTCCTCGACCCTTAAAGTTGTTCCAGAGATTTTCTTTAACTTGTTCATGGGATGTGGGTGTTGCTGACTGGATGAGCGTTTATCATCCACAAATTGCTCTGGAAAGGGTAGTGATGAGCTGCCTTCTTGAACCGCTGCAGTCCTTTGTGTTTGAGGACACCCAAAATACCATTAAGAATAGAGTTTCAGGATTTAGATCCAGTGACACCGAGGGAATGGCTGTATGTTTCCAGATAAGGATGGTGAGTGGCCTGGAAGGGAACTTGAAGGCGGTGGTATTCCCATGCATCTGCTGCCCTTGTCCTTCTAGGTGCTAGAGTTTGCAGGTTTGGAGGGTGGTGTTGAACAGGCCTTGCTGTGTTCCTGCTGTGTATTTTGTAGATGGTGTGCGGTGCTGCTGCCGTGTTTTGCTGCTGGAGGGAGGTGGTTCAGATGCTAATCAAGTGGGCTGCATTGTCCTGAATGGGGTCAAGTTCTATGGAAAAGAAAAAGCATCCACCCTTTTTGTGGTTCTGAATAGTTTGAATGCATATCCTGTATTATGAGCCACTTGTGTGCAGTGTTTGAAAAATACAAATATGGTTTTTATCGCAAAAATCACTAATTGGACTTTTATGAAATGCTATCCAGTGTAAAAACTGAAATGTACCAACCTTGCAAAGTCATGTGGCACCTCACTAAAATGAACATGTTATTGGTGTGATACCAGGATATTTGCAAGAAAGAAGATTGATCATAATCCAGCTGAATGGCAGACCATTCTCAGTGGATTGAGCCCCCTACTCTTGTTTCTATCTCTTGTGCTCTAACGAACCCATTTGCCCTGTTCTTGTGAAATTTAGTTGCTTCAGCCTAAGTGCCATTAATAAGTTTATCGTTGCTTTGGTATTCCCACCACTTTCTGAATTAAACTCATTTGTTGGTCTGTGTTCTCTCTGAATTTGTAGGGGACAGTACAGTCGTTGCCCCTATGTTGTTAACACTTTGCTAAAAATAAGCCAGGATCGGTGATTAAGCATCAGATCTGGAAATAGTGTTTGAAGCTCATTTGAGAGTTTCCTGTATCATAAGTTTCTTTAAATAAAAACCTTTGTAAAAATAGGGCAGGATATTTTTGTGTTCTAAACAAGCATTGAGTCATAGCAATACTTTCATGCTTGCCTTCATTGGTTTAGGCACAGTGTATAAAAATTGACTGTATAGATCTTTAGTTAGGTTACATTTGGAAAATTGTGTACAGCTCTAGTCACCCACTACCAGAAGGATGTGAGAGCTTTGGAGAGAGTACAGAAATGGTTTACCACAAAGTTGCATGGTTTGGAGGGTATTAGTTAAGGGAAGAGATTGGACAAACTTAGTTTGTTTCCACTTGAATATTGAAGGATGAGGGGTGAAGTTTACAAACTTCAGAGGCGTGGATAGAATGGATAGTTGGAGTCTTTTTCCCAGGGTAGAAATGTCAATTACTAGGGGACATAATAAGGGTTAAGTGTAAGGGAGATGTGAGAACCAAGTTTTTTTACGCAGAAGGTGGTAAGTGCCTGGAATGTGCTGCCAGAGGACATGGTGGAGGCAGATACAATAGCAATGTTTAAGAAGCATCTTGACAGATTAATAGGCAGGGAATAGAAGGATATGGATGGTGAAAGGTTTTTAGTTTAGAAAGGCATTGCGTATCGGTGCAGTATTGGTGATCAAAGGGCCTGTTCTTGAGCTGTACTGTACTTTGTTTTTTGCCGGCCAATAACCTTGTCACAAGAATACCACCGAGCATCCATATGCTATGGGGGGGGGAATGTGGTGTAGTGGTAATGTCAGCAGGTTAATAAAACCAGAGGCCCAACCGTCTGAGGACCAGGGTTCAAATTTCACCAGAGCAGCTGTAGAAATCTGTATAATTTAGTTATTCTCGGTAATGGTGACTAACAATCATCATCAGTCAAAGTAAAAACCCATCTGGTTCACTAACTTCCTTCAGGGGAGGAAATCTGCCATCCTTCCCTGGTCTGGCCTACATGTGACTCCAGACCCACAGCAATGTGGTTGGCTTCTAACTGACATGGCCAAGCAAGCGCCTCAGTGCCAGGGAAAAGAGATGGGCTATAAGTACTGGCCTTGCCAGTGGCACCCACGTCCTGTTAATGAGGAAACAAAGTCAGAGCAGTGGGACCGGGACGGTACTGGTGGCGCATCCTCATTTTCTGTTTCTTCAGTGCCAACCATTGCCAATTTTCATGGCATCAATTGTGGCTCAACGAGTGGTGCTCTTAGTCCTGAACTGGGACATTGTGGGAAAGAACCCTCATTTGGATGAGGCATTAAACCATGGCTGCACCCGCCACCCCCCCCCCCCCGCCCCCCCCGCCCGCCCTACCCCCCCAAATGATCTACCCCCCACTGCCACCATTCCCCACCCCACCCGGGATATTCTGGTGCCTGGTGCCCTAGCCAGCATTTACCCTTCAGCCAGCATCAGTAAAACAGGAAATCTAGTTGTTTATCTCATTGCTGTTTGAGGGAGCTTGCTGTGCACAAATGATCTACCTTAACCTACTCTATGTTACAACAATGACTGCCCTTCAGGTGTACTTCATTGGCTGTGAAGTGTTCCAGGACATCTGATGTTGTGTAAGCAGTCTTTCTTTTCTCTGCCTCTGCTGAGCTTTTCCTGTGATGCAGTTCCTTGGGTCATTACCCACGCTCCAGCACCACATCGTACTGACCATATTTCTGTGTGTTAGCGGTATTTTCAGTCGCAGGGCATCACTGCTGAGATCGATCTTGTTAAGAGTTCGATGTTCAAACATGCACTTTCCAGCGTAGACTTGTGACCCAGCAGCTTTCAGGGTCATTTTTCCCAGTGCTTTCTCACATATTATCAACTTCATCCAATTCAGCTTTGGAGCTAGCTGTAGTGGGATTTGAACTCCCAACCTCTGGGTCATGTGTCCACGAAACAATTGTATCCAACATAGGTTAAAAATTCACAGCAGTCGGTCTGTGTGCTGTGGTACCTTTCAGCAATTCAAGTTTGATTTTCAGCTAATGTAAGTGCTCCGCCCTGCAGTGCACAAGTGTGTGAAAGTGCAGCTCTCTTCCACTCTGAATTAATCTTTGACTTTTCTTTCGCAGGTTGTGTTCTGCTTTGATCTTATTGGTGCTTTTGTTTATGTCTGTTTGTTGAGGTACAGGCCTTGATCTTTGTCATGTGCTGTGTTGTGTTTATGCTGGAGTATGAATTCAATGTTTGCAATCCTTTTTGTTTTGCCTGTTAGGGTATATGCTTTCATATCTTAACGCTGTAAAAGTTTGAGTATGTGGGTGTGTTGCACTGTGAGCGTGTTGCACTATCAATGTGACCTTTGCGACGCTGTGTTTGTGACTGGGTACAATAGGAGGCACTGCTTTTTGTCCTGATCTGGAGGTGCTTAGAAGCGAGAGACTTGTGTTTTTCCAGTTACTCAGTTGGTCCTCGCCTTGTTTCTGATGCACAGCGCTGACGCTGTGAACCATTTTCTCCAGGTTCTGTCCAACCCCAGCTCCTACACGGTTTACAAACTGTATTTCTTTGCTCTCTCAACTTCTGTCTCTTTCACCTTTCCTATAAGGATTGCTCTGAGAGGCACATGCAGTTTTGACTGCCTTTTCCATTTCCAATTTGTACTCCATAACTGATGCACAGAGTCTGATCAGGTGCGGTATGTGCCAGTGGCCAAAGGCAATGCTAGGCAACCGAGACATTGCTGCAACAATGCATCCTGAAGCCTGACGCTTGTCCTGCTGAAGATATTGCCTCTGGAAACAAAAAAAAAATAGGCTTTGTGCTTCATCGTGGCTTTCTACAGCCAGGAATTTCAGATTGTTTGATTGAAACGACGCTGTCTGGTAAGTTGGGAGGCACAGGCTAAACCCCTTCACTTGCCAAATGAATGGAAACTGTCAGGGCCACTCTCAGCAGCTGGCTCAATACTTCCCTTCCATGGTTCAGTCACGGTCATCTGGTGTGGCCCATAAGTTGCCTCTGAGCTCAACTATCTTGGCCAGAAAGTAGGTGGCAGCCCGTCTTTGCCACCCTGGTCTGAAGGGCAGTTGACCTCCGCTGGTGGCCCGGGTCTGATGGGGCCTGGCTGTGATGCTTCACACGGTGGCTCAGTGGTTAACACTGCTGCCTCACAGCGCCAGGAACCCGGGTTCAAGCCTCAGGCGACTGTCTGTGTGGAGTTTGCATGTTCTCCCCGTGTCTGTGTGTGGCTTTCCTCCAGGTGCTCCGGTTTCCTCCCACAGTCCACAGATGTGCAGGTTAGGACGGATTGG